TAGTTAACTTTGAGAGACGATCTATAGTGAGTAATATATAGATAAAAATAAAAATTCGGACGTTTTATTACAAGGATCAGGAATCATTAATATTGGTAAGAACTCTAGTCACCAGAGGTCTTATTAAAAAATAAGGAACTGACATTTAAATATTCAGCAGTTGCGAGTAGGCCCTATGTTTTTATTGAATTTTATTAAGCTTTGTTTCTCATCAGATACTCTCAGGGAGAATGGACTGTAGCTTTGACCTCGTCTGTCTCGTTAGTATCCCCAGAGGGAAACATATTTGGATACTGTGGTGTATAATAAAACATATTACTACTAGGCCACACTTTCACAAATCATACGGTAGGCGTGAAATTCAAGGAAGGTTAGACTTCCTCCATTTCACAAAGATAATTGATGAAGCAAACTTGAAAATGGTCATTACGTTCGAATACGTTAGTTATACTCATAATAATTAAGTGTTTAGACTATCAGTAAATCTACTTCCTATCAACATTGATTAGTATTTACATTAATAATGAATAGGTTGCAAAACTACCAGTTGATCTTGGATAAGAAACGCATTCACCCTAGGTCGAAAAAGATGGTGAAGATCTGATGAATAAGTTTTCTTACAATGTTATGAAAATTTTCCACGATTCAAGTGTAGTTTCTTTAGCCTTGGTTCGTGCAGATTCGACCTCGCTTATGGATCATCAGCAACCAAGATGGAAATTGAACCTGTGTAAGTCGAAACTATAGTCCATTCTGTAAAAAACAAATTGTAGGGGGCAAAGCTAAGTGAAATTAAATGACGTTAAGAGGCCTACATATATCAATTTAGGAAAATTTAAGAATCCGACCTAACACGACTTAGAGAGAAAGTAGCTCATGTTCAAGATCTACTAGTAGTATCGAAACGTAATCATTCTGAGTGTAAGTAACACAGTCGATTGTAATGACAAATACAAGTTTGCTTCATTGGGCGTCTATCATAAAATGATATGGGAGAGGACTGGCTTGCACTGGAAGTCACGCCTACCCTGTGACCATTCAGTATCTGTGGCAGTTTGATTTAGTCGCTGCACTACTCGGGTTAGATTCCCATTTATGGCCCTGACGAGGCCCAGGCAAAATCGAAACTCAGTCTGTTATGGATGAAAATATAAAATCAAGGCTATGTGATATTCATTGGAATCATGAGGTTCACTAATATCATTCTAGAAAAATAAAATTTTAATACCTTACTCACCTTATGTGACATAGGAAAAATATAATTCTCATTAATTGATATTATTTAATGCAAAGTCCCACGGACTGCATTGAATTTAACGATATAAACCTATAAGAGGTTTTATAACGGCTTTTGATCACATGAACCATACAAGTCAAGTGAGGCTAGCTCACTCACTACACGCATTCCCCAGAAGACATATAATCTTAATTAATATTGATATAAAAAAACGAAAATTCTTTAACACAAAATAGAGACTAAAAGGGAAATAGTTCAAATCCCAAGTTAAACTTTCATGTATGAATTAGTTATAATCTCCTAGCTAATGCATTTTTTGCTTACTAGCCATTTTTCTTCTTGTCGAATGCCAGAGCTAGGTCGAATAGCTCCTTCGAACTGAGATTGAGACTAAACCGCTTGGCTGCCTCCTAAAAATCCATTGAATAAGGTTTGAAATGAGTAAAGTTAAATATGTTAAAATTGCATAGAATAATCGAGCCTTTGAGTAATTTTAGAGAATCTTTGAAGAAAAACTGTTTTCACAAAAATATGCAAAAAGATTTAATGTGACTGGAATTTTCATTTTTAAGGAAAAGTTGGCCAGAACAAAGCAGAAACTGATCCAAATGTCAATGTTCAGTCTCCTGCTTTGCAACGACATCCATACAGAACTGGCAAATTATTTATGTTGCGTTGGCTGTGGAAGAAATCATGAAAAATAAGTATGCTACGAATTGAAAGATTTATTTTTAATAAATTTTAAGCAGCCTCCGAACAATTCAAATAACCATTATTGAATCAAAGACGAACATTGGGATGTAAAAACAAACTGACTGATTAACAAGTCTGTTGAGCTTTTCATACAAACCATGAAATAACTTCTCAGCACACTAGTACGTCCATCAGGATCAGCGCGCAAAAAGAATGATTTTATGGCCTGCCAAGAGGAATTCATTGCTGAACTAATCTGCAGACATAAGCAGTCAACTTGCTCTTTAGACGGCTCCTGCCATACCGGTGGTAATTGGCGTCGAAGCTCTCGATCAGCCTCGGCCCGATGAAGAAGCTTCGTCTCATAGTCGTCACGAGCCTGCTTACGAGCCTGATAGAAGGCGGGCATCAGCTTAATATTTGGATCATGGACCTCTGCCGAGTTAATTAGTATTGCGTGAATGTTTAAAATATATTTTTTGGTTGCATGGGGTTTAAGACGCAATAGTAATGGCTACTAGATTCTGATACAAGTGTGTGCCTATGTAAGTGCTACTTATGCCAACTAAGAAGTGAGTTTAGCGTGCTTGAAAAAGTAGGCGTAAGATTACTTCTGTCTCGGTAAAAGCTGGGATAAAACTGATTATTTTGACGATAAAATAAAGTTTAGCGGCTTGTTGCAAGTCATGATGATGATATACAGAGGTATGCGGTAAGATAAAGAAGAAAAGAGTGAAACATTAAGATAACATGCCAGCGAGAAAAGGGAATATCAGGTAATGTATAGCATGAATTTCTAAAGTTGATGAAAAGTATGTTCCACATATTCTAAGTAAAACTTGGTCAGCATAGTGCATCGATATAAAATAAATATCAGGCAGTAAATAAAAATTAAAATGCGATTGTAAAAATTACTTATACAAAGAAGAATTTGGTAATGATTTTAAACTCTTTTTGAACTATTGATATTGAATATACTAATAAATTAATTTTCGTATTGGAGTAGAGAATGGAGACTACAAGTAAATCATTAATATGAGAGGTATTCACCTTATTTCGTTTAAGGTGATGAAGGAATTATAGTAGAATTTTTCTACAATGATATGAGTAGAGCTGACGTTTCCATTGAATTTCACATTACCTTGCTTTCCCAAAAGTTGTTCTCATCAAGGGTGGACAGCAATTTCGACCTCGCATCGGTCCTATCAACACCCCCAGCGGGAGTCGAACCGTGACAGTGCAAAATGGGAGCTTGACACGTCAACCACTCGACCACATTGCCACGAGTGCCCTTGGGTCACAGGGCATAAAAGAATTTTAAGTTCAGGCCTTTTGTCATATCATATTCTTTGGTGGGATAGCCGATGAAGAAAACGTATATTTGCTATAACAATGAACTAAGTTACTTATTTTCGTATTGGAGTAGGTGATGAAGGACTGGTAGTAGTTAACGTGTCAAGCTCCCATTCTGCACTATCACGGTTCGACTCCCACTGGGGTGTTGATAAGACCAATGCGAGGTCGAAATTGCTGTCCACCCTGGATGAGAACAACTTTTGGGAAGGCAAGGCAATGCAATATTCAATAGAAACGCCAGCTCTACTCATATCATTCTGGAAAAATTCTACTATAAGTCCCTCATCGCCTTAAACGAAATAGGGTGAATAACTCTTATATTAATAAATTTAGGTAGGCGATATCGACTAAATAAACAAAAAACATATTAAAAATTAATTTTCAAAGAGAGTAAGCTAAAAATATTTAAATTTAGTATAGTAATCGGACATATAATAAAACATTCCTCTATATATCTAGTGTTGTCTTTTATCTGTTGGAGGTAAAAGTTCATTTAAAAATAGAAAAACGAATAATTTTAACAACATGATAAAAATAATAAATTAAGTATATTTTGATGAAATTAGGAAAATAGAATGATTTACAAGAATAGAAAAGGAATAAAAGTCTAAGAATATAATTAATAAGTAAGTCCACCTTTAATCCGACAAGTTCGGTGATATTTTTCCAGCACGGACTTAGTCTGAATAAGGAAAAATCGCAACACCTGACGATAGTTATGAAGCGGTGCTTTCTCGGGATCTGCTGCATCTACAAGCGACCATAGAATGTTAAGTTCAGCGGAATTGAGCATGACGCCTTGCCTTGAGATAAATATGGAAACAAATGCAAAAATAGGTGAGGGAACAAGCATTCGTTCATTTAGCATTTCTTATTATAGCTAGTTTCTTTAACAAATTCTTAAATTCTTGAATGTTTACGACAAATGAATTTTCACTACGGCGTTGGAAATTAATCCATAAGAGAATATACAGGCCATAAACTTAAACCAAAAAATTAGAATTCGAAGATTCACTATTTGCATTTAAAATTATCCTAATCTAACAATGTTAAAAGAGATCAGAGATATCCCAAAACAAGTTGAACTAGACTTAAGGTAGTGATATTATAAATCTTTAATTAATAGATTACCTAGATTTCTGTAAAGATAGACCTTTAGTCAGATAAGTGAGTCATATACGAAAAAATCCCATGTCGAGGTTGCATGATATTAAGTTGATTTTTATTGCCCTAATTTATATATAGAAGTGAAAATCATACTTAATTTTAAATAACTATATAAACCTACTTACAAAATAAAATAAGTACTCGAACATATTTGTGAAGACATGGACTGTGAATGAGGATAGGATGCGTATGAAAAAACTCCTACCCCAGTACACGGCACGGGCGCTAGTGGGCCACAGGGAAAATGGGGCATTTTGCGTAAGCCAGGCCTTACATAACTAGCATTATCAATTAAGCAAACACGTGTTTGCCATTGCAATTCGCGGCGTTACTCATTTCCAATATGAGTAATTTTCAAAACTATCAACGATTCTTAGAAAATAATGTAGGCATCATCGGTCGCATAAGATGACTTAAGGAATAATAATTGAGTTTTCCCACAATAAGATGAGTAGGCATTATGATATTATCGATTTTCACTTAAACTTAGCAGTCACTAGTCTCATTGTGACGTTATCACCCAAGTAAAGTATAAATATATTCAGAAAGCAGAGGGTTTAGGGGCTATGTATGTAAGGAATTTCAAAATTTCATTAGGTTATGTGAAAGTCCCTACAAATAACCAATGGAAATAGATTATATGGATAATTAAAAAAAACTATGGATAAAGATAAAGGGTACAGAAAAGAAGTTAGTTTATAAATAAATAGACAATGTCCGACATATTTTCATCGATCAAAAAGTAACCAATATGTAAATAATTAAGACTCACCAAGTTTAACATAAATTAGAAAAACTTAAGAAAGATGTTTAACCTACGAAGCCATTAGTTCTGCAAAG